GCACCCTACAACTTCCCCCTCCCCACCCCAACATCCCCTGGGGGAAGAGACTCCTTCTACCACTGCAACTTACACTCTTAGAGAGTGGCCTAGAACAGATGTGTCAAATGGCTGGCTCACAAGGCCCACAACACTCCCAAGCACAGCCTGAGTGAGATTAAAATGTAATTGGGAAATATTTAACAAAATTAATTAAAATGAAATAAAACAAAGAATTATATTTTAAGTTCAGAATAAAATAAGTAATTGGTGGGGGAGGGGCAAGGTAATCAGGGTTAGGTGATTTGCCCAGGGTCACACAGCTAATTAAGTGTCAAGTGTCTGAGGCTGAATTTGAACTCAGATCCTCCTGACTCCAGGGCCAGTGCTCTATCCATTGTACCACCTAGCTGTCCCTTAAAATAAGTAATTTTTTTTAAAAAATGAGGTCAATATGTGGTCTACAAAGATCCCTGTGGACAGTCTAGTGACACCCAATTTCTATTTGAGCCTAGAACACTAAGACATTTAGAGACCTTCCCAAGGTCACCTAGTCAGTGGCCTTGAACCCAGGTAAACCTCATTCTCTAGCCACTAGATTCTGTCTTTATCCAAAGTAAATAAAAAGTAATTTGGAATGAGGGAAGGGAGAATGGCACAAATAATTGGGAACATCATGAAGGTAAAAGGCAGTGCTTGAGGTGAGCCTTAAAGGAAGTTAGGGATTCTAAAGGTTGGAATCAGAGAATGAATTCCAGGCATGGGGGGGGGGGGGGTAGCCTGGGTAAAAATTCAAAGGAAGGTAATGAAGTATCATATAGAAGAGTACAGCAAGTTAACCAGTCTGGCTAAAATATAGAGTGAATAAGGTGGAACAATATGAAACCAATCTGGAAAGATCAGCTGGATGCTGTAACAAATATGGCACATCCTTTGAAAAGTGATTATTTAATGTGCGTGTACACACACAGACACATACATTGTCATTCAGTCATTTCAGTCATGTTTGACTTTTTGTGACCCCACTTGGGGTTTCTTGGCAAAGATACTGGAGTGGTTTGCCATTTCTTTCTCCAGCTCATTTGACAGATGAGGAAACTAAGGCAAACAGGGTTAAATGACTTGCCCAGGGTCACATAGGTAGTAAGTGTCTGAGGCTGAATTTGAAGTCACAAAGATGAGTCTTCCTGACTCCAGGTCCAGCACTGTATCTGGTATGTCAAATACATATATGCAAACACACATATATATTTACACATACATGTTTGCATGCATGTATATGAGAACATGCATTTTATACATGCATGTAAATATCCATTTACATATATGCATATATAATCATACATATATACATGTATATACATGTGTATGTATGTTTGTAAATATCCACATATTACAGGCAGAAAGGCATAGAGTTGGCCTTCAAGCCAGGAAGACCTGGGTTCCCATTTCACCTCTGACCCATACTAGCCATATGACCCTGGGCAAGTCACTTAAAGCCACCCTGGATTATTATCTTATGATCTGCTCTCCCACCATCCAGGCAATAAGACTATAAATTACAAAGAAGGCACAGCAGACCTATATTAGCAGAGACAGTTTCCTCCCTAAAAAAGTTAAATGAAACTAGGTGGCAAAATGGAGAATTGGTTTGATTTGGAGTCAGGAATACTTGAGTTTAAATTCTGCCCAAGAAATCTACGAGCTGTTTGACTCTGGACAAGTCACTTTATCTCTCTAGGCCTCAGTTTCCTCATCTGTAAAAATGAAGGACTGGATTCAGCTGGCATCTGTAATGTCCCTTGTAGCTCTTGATCTATGATCCTTTGAATTCTGTATTCATAGATCCAATCACTATCACCCTCTTATATGCATCCATGCTTATTAATCTACTCCTGAAGGTCAGGGTTCATGCCTTGTTCATCTCTGCATTAATGTATAGCACATTGGAAACAAAAGCACTTGGTGTCTGCTGAATTCCATACAGATCACAGGTGAACCCAGAAAGGTATCTAAGATCAAGATGCTGATGCACGGCTGCTTTTAAGAGACAACATTAGCAAGTCAAAAATCCATTTCTCAATAATGGCATGTTATTTCAATGTTCCATAAACAGAGTTGATTCCATGGTAGACACTTATCTTTCTGGGATGGCTTAAACGTCCTGGCTCAAGGCAGGAGAATAAATGAAAAGCACTTGCCAAGTCCCAAGCCGGTCTATGATTCTATCATTTACCATATGCAGTATAAACAAAGCAATGTTTTCCTTGAAGAACTTAATATAAAACTGAGTCAAGATAAAATGGTTGTCATTTTTGGCAGGTAGGGAAGGCAGAGAGATGGAGGTTGGAGCTGCTGGGGACTCTGTGCAGACCATGACCCCTTAGCTACTTGCGTGCTTTTGTTTTTAGGAACTCAGAAATGAACATTATTATAAAAATGCAAAATAAGTAAAAACCAGGAAAAAAGCAGTAGGAGCAATGTGTTTTTATATATTTTTCATGACTGAGAAACCAAATCTGGTTGCCAGCAGTGGACATATATTTTAACACCATTACATAATTTAACACAAACAAACAGGAGTTCTTAACCTTGGGAGGGGGGTCATGGATTTCTTTAGCAGTCTGGCAAAACCTATGAACCCATTTTCATAATATTTTAAAATGCATAAAATAAAGTGCCTAACATTACAAAGGAAAGCAATTATACTGAAATACAGTTATGAAAACATTTTTTAAAACAAGTTCATGGACCACAGGTTAAGAACGCCTGAATTCAAGATCAACATAGAGACTGTAACTAGAGGACTTGAAAACGGAATTTCAGACTCTGGCAGGTGCTGGGTAAATTTTCTAACCATCTGTTCACTTTGCTTACAAAACTAGGTGCTAAAGCTAATACATATCTGAACTTCTGTGCAATTTTCCCCCTAGGAAAAAAACAACAAGGGCAGCTAGATGGCACAGTGGATAGGGTGCCAGGCCTGGAGTCAGAAAGACCTGATTCAAATCTGGCCTCAGACGCTTAGTATTTGTGTGACCCTAGGCAAGCCATTTCACCCTGTTTGCCTCAGTTTCCTCATCTGTAAAATGAGCTGCCGAAGGAAATGGCAGTATCTTTACCAAGAAAACCCCAAACGGGGTCATGAAGAGTCAAGCTACTGAAATGACTGAACAACAACAAAACAACAGAAAAAAACAGGTGAAAGTCCAGTTACATACACATTGCTTGTTTCTGTGTTTTTGGAAAAAAGTAATGGGGATAGAGGGAAGAATATGAGTTTGTCAGGAGTTGGAAGTTCCTGGCATAGTCATGGAGCTGACTAAAATCTGGGCTCCTTCACAATTTAGAATTCTCAGAACCTAGATTTAGAGGGGAAGGGAACACAGAGGCAGATTATCTGGTCCAATCTTTTGATTTTTAACATGAAAAACAACCCCAACAACTGAATCTCAGGTGAAGCAATCTGGCCACGATCATACAAATAACAAGTGGCAAAGCTGGCATTTGAACCTAAGTCCTCCAGACTCCCATTCTGATACTTTACCCACCCCACTGCTGCCTCTCAACTTCAGTCTTACAGAATTGTGTGGCTTACTGAAGCTCTAAGTGATTTGTCCAGGGTCACATAGCCATTATGCATCAGACCCAGGACTGTCTTAACTCTAAGACTGGCTTGCTATCTACCCACTATACCACACTGCCACCCACGAAGCTAATTATGCTCTACATATTTGTCACTTTTCTCTCACTGATAACAACATTTTAACAAAACATTACTATTTCTTCTGGAGCCACCAGTCTCTACAACCTACTTTACTGAAAACATTCCTGATTGTTTGAGCAGCATTCTAGCACACAGCAATGAGAACTTTAACTGGTATGTCACTCATTAAATAACTCACCACAACTTATCATATGCATGTCATCTTAAGGCCAAGAAACTAGTTTACATTTTGCAGCAAAAACCGCTCCGTAAATACTGTCCCCAAGCCCTGCTTACATCAGCCTCAGACCTTCACACAAGAGAGAATTCTTCCTCCTAGGAAAAAAAACCTGGAGGCCCCTTACTACTGATACATGGAAGTATAGACAGCACCATCACTCAAAGCAATCGAGATCTCTCTCTCTGTCTCTATCTCTCCTCTCCTCTCCTCTCTTCTCCTCTCCTCCTTTCTCCTCATCTCTACCTCTCCCCCTCTCTTTCCCTCTCTCTGTTACTTCATAAAGAGCAGGAATCCAGCCTTTCTCCAGAAGGCACTCATAGTCCACAGGGAGGAAAGGGGTCCCAAGGCTTTCACTAGTGGGCAAGCATTAAAACGAAGGGGAGGGAAGGTAGCAAACTTTGTCCCAGTCCTCACTGCCCTCCCCAGCCCAAGCTGAAGGTCTTCCCCAGGGTAAGGGAACCACCAGGAGAGTTCGAGAGGAAAAGCCTTGGCGAGTGCCTAGGAGTGAGAGGAGACAGTTGAGCTGTCAGAGGCATCCTAGTGACAGCCACGGAGGAGGAAGGGCTCACTGCGGCCAAGGACCTTAAGACTAAGGTTTCTGGGGGTTCTGAGCCTCCCTAGAAAGCTGTACTGGGAGACCCCACTCCTACACACACACACACACACACACACACACACACACACACACACACACAACCTCCTGTTCAGGTGCCGCTCTGCTTTGCTCTCCTCATCTGCTCGCTTCCATGTGCTTTTCCCGGGAGGGGGAGAGGAGGAGCTGAAAAGAGCAGCCCGGGGAGAAGCCCTGGATGGCATTGAGGTCTCCTCCATTCCCTACCACTGGGAAATGGTGCAAAAGAAAAATGGAAGCCGGGACCGCGGTAAAGACTAGGGTCATGGATGCGAGGAGAGGGGAAAAGGGGAAGGAGCCTGGAGAGGAGGCAGAAGGGGATCTGCTAGGGGAAGCAGGAGTAGAGAAAGGGAGAGAAAGGAGAAGAAGCGGGAGAGAAGGGGAGGTCGGCAACAGAACCTCTCACAAAGAAAAGAAGGTACGGACCGGCCCTAGCTCCCTACCTGTACTGCAACTCCCAGCGGCGCCGCGGGCAAGGGATTATCCAGCAGGTCCATCTGGATCTCCTGCGCCACCGCCGCTGCCGCCACCGCCGGGATGGGAGGCGACTTGGACATGTCGCTTTGGACCATTGGAGAAAAGTCAGCGAGAAGAAAGGCAGGCGGCCAGCCGAGATTCTCCTCCTAAGCCCCGCAGTCCGGCTCGGGGCTCCGTGGTCCGGTTCGGGGCTCCTCGGTCTGGCTCCGGGTTCCGCTGCGCGCTCCGCTCGGTGTCCCGAGGTCCGGCTCGGGTTCCAGCTGCTCTCTCAGCCCCGCGGAGCCGTGGTGTGGCTCGGCGCTCCGCTGTCAGGCTCGGGGCTCTGCAGTCCGGCTCAGGGTTCCGCTGTCCGGCTGGGGCTCTGCAGTCCGGCTCCGGGTTCCGCTGCGCGCTCAGCTTCTGCGCTCCCGCGCTGGCGGCGCTGCCCCGCAGCGCCCCCAGCGCTCTGCCCAGCGAGCGCTCCCCGCTCGGTCACTCTCAGGGCGCGGGACTCGGTCGTGCCATTTTGAAAAGCGAAAGATCCGAAAGACTGGAGGCAGAGGTGGCCCGGAGCCGCGAGGGGCCGGGGAGAGGGGCCCGGGAGAGAGAGGCCCCTTCCTCTTTTCAGCAGCAGCCTTGGCGGCTGCTTTGCCTCCCTTCCCTGGCCGGCGCGGGAGACGGAAAGTGACGGCGCTCCGAGCCGCGGCTGAGTCAGGCAGAAGCAGCAGCAGCAGCAGCAGCAGCGGCGGCGGCAGCAACAGCCGCCGCCTGGCAAGAGCAAGCCAAGAGGGAGGGAGCGAAGGGGGAGAGCGAGCGAGCGCGAGCGGGAGCGAGCGGCCGGGAGGGGGAGGCGCGGCCGAAAGAGAGGGGAACCATGCTTGGAAAAGTTCCTCCGGAGTAGCGACCGCCCTGTGGGCTCCAACCCTGTCCCGGCCCCTTCCTCTCCTCACCACTACCCGCGCTGTTACAAAGTTGCCCCTGGCTACGCTAGCTGGATACAAATGCTTGTGTGTCTGGGTGTGGGGGTCTCCTACTCTAGAGTAGCTACCAGACCCACCGCTCACCACCTCCCTATGGGCCTCGTGTTAGGAGAGGGTTGCCAAAGAAAGGACGACCTGGGGAGTGAGCTGAAACTGTAAATTGAACATGGAGAACAGGTATGGGAGTCAGGCAGACCTGGAATTGAATCCTACCTCACATTAGCTGTGTGATGTTGGGTGAGCCATGTAACGTCTTTGGGCCTCAGTTTCCTCAAGTGTAAAACGAGAGGGCTGGTCTCAGTGACCTCTAAAATCCCTTTCAGCTGTAAATGAATGATGCTATGAATAAACGCAATGCCCTTTGAGTTACTGTATAACAAGTGTCAAGCCAGCACAAGGATTTTTTTTTTTACTAGTGCTAGTGACTTTGGATTACTTTAGGAAGGAAGCTGTTGGTGAGTTACCAGGCAAGAAAGGTAAATAAACATCAACACTTAGGACCTGACCCAATTCAGTTGGACTTCAGATCCAGAACCTATCCCACTAGTTCCCAAATTACACCCAAGTTCTTTCATTGTTACTTTAAAGCTCCTATTAAACTCAAACTTTGTTGTTCTAAAGACCATCACCCTCCTGTCCACCACCATTCCCCCAAACCACCCCGACCATGTAGCCCTAGCAAAGGTCAAGATGTTTCATGGCTGTGTTGGGGAGGCTCTATACATTTTTAACATTGAGGCTGAAGTAAAAAGTCTCACTTAAAGGAGCATGAAAGCCTAACTTTTGGCCATGGAAAAGCAGCTATGGCAAGAGTCAAGGTTGCTTCATTTAGCAAATTCCTTTCAGAAATTCCTAGCATATCACTTAGAGCATTGTGTGCACTACAGGTCAAATCCCATGAAAACAAATACCATTACAATTCAAGGCTCTGCATCACAAGATTTCTGAGCTGTATTACCATTTTGGGGGAGGGGAAGATTCTGGGCTCCTGAGCTCCTCAGTGTTAGGAAGGTACATTTTGGAGTTGCCTAGGTCACTGAGAGCTTAAAGAACTTACTAACTAACATTTGGTAGTCAGGACTTGCATCCAGGTTTTCCTGACTTGGAGATTAGGGGTCTAACCACTAGGCCATGTAACTTGCTAGTATTGCCATATTAAATAATTATTTTGACAGTCATTTGGAATGTAGAGTAATAAACCTCACCAGTCTGACTACTTCAGTAGCCTCTTATTTGGTCTTGCCTCCAACCCCATAAATCCCTCTTGACATAGCTCCCAATTTGTACTACTAAAGCCCAGGTCTGACCATGTCATTGCCTTGCTCAAGAAACACCAGGGGCTCCCGCTTGCCTCTGGGATAAAACACAAACTCTTGTTTGGCATATTAAGCCCTTGATAATCTCTTTCCAACCTATGTTTCCAGACTGATTTCACATTATTCTCTGTCATGCATTTTTTGCACCAGCCAAACTGGCTTACTTATTATTTCTCTTACATGATATTTCCATTTCTTGTCTCTCTTTATGCTTTTGCCCACACAGGCTGTCCCCCATGCCTGGAATATACTTCTTCCTCACCTCAGCAACTTGAAATCTCAAGCTCCCTCCATGACTCAGCTCAAGTGATGTCTCCCAGAGGAAGCCTTTCCTGATTAAATTATTATTTTTTAAATATATATTTATATTTTGTTTTTACTTAGAAACTTATCATATCTTCTCTACCTCCTATAGAATGTAAATTTCTGTAGAGCAAGGAAAGTTTCATTTTTTTCATAATGCCTGATTCATAATAGGTATTTAATAAAATGATGGAATTCCAACTGAGCTATTTAAAATTCTAAAAGATGATGCTATTAAAGTGCCGCACTCAATATGCCGGCAAATTTGGAAAACACAACAGTGGCCACTGGATTGGAAAAGGTCAGTTAACATCCCAATCCTAAAGAAAGGCAATGTCAAGGAATGTTCAGATTACTGAATAGTTGTACTCATTTCACATGCCATCAAGGTTATACTTAAGATTCTGCAAGCTAGGCTTCAGCAATGTGTAAACCAAGAATTACCAGAAGAACAGGCTAGTTTTCAAAAAGGCAGAGGAACTAGAGACCAAATTGCCAACATTTACTAGATTATGGAAAAAGCAAGGGAGTTTCAGAAAAAATATCTGCTTCTGCTTCACTGACTACACTAAAGCCTTTGATTGTGTGGATCACAACAAAATGTGTCAAATCCTCAAAGAGATGGGAGTACTACATCATCTTACTTGTCTCCCACAGTACCTGTATTTAGGTCAAGAAGCAACAGTCAGAATTGAACATGGAACAACTGATTGGTTTAAGACTGGAAAAGGAGTTCGACTAGGCTGTATATTGTCACCTTATTTAACTTATATGCAGAGTCCATCATGTGAAATGCTAGGCAAAATGAATCAAAAGCTGGAATTAAGGTTGCTGGGAGAAATATCAACATTCTCAGATATGCAGACAATACCACTTCAATGGTAGAAAGTAAAGAATTCAGAAGCCTTTTGATGAGGGTGAAAGAGGAGAGTGAAAAAAAAAACTGGATTGAAGTTTAACATCTAAAAAACCAAGATCTTAGCAACTAGTCCCATCACACCCTGGCAAATAGAAGGAGAAGTAGAAGCAGTGTAAGATTTTATATTCTTGGGCTCAAAGATCATTGTAGATGGTGACTGTAGCCATGAAATTAAAAGATCTCATGGATTAGGGGCAAAGTTGAAATTTGAACAGGGATCCTTGGAGTACAAATCAAGTACCCTTTCTACGTCAATAAGATTTGCCCGAGGTCACACAGCTGATAGGTGAATTGAGTAGGGACTCAAATCCAGGTTGAAGTTCTTTCTGTTATATCTATTTTACTAGTATTTATAAGTCATTGACATCATAAATACATTCCGTTCTTCTTCAAATATCTAAGCCTGACTCAAGCTTTCTTTAGGTTGTAAGAGATCTAGAATAAACAATCATGAAATGTTACTCCAATAGAAAGAAGTGATATCAGTGGGATGTGTAAACACTACATAGGCTTGTGAGCATGGATCCTTTCTATCCAGTCAGTCTTAAAATATATCTCTCTTAATCCAGTGTCTCAGAGCCAAAGACTAAAGAAAAAATTTGATAAGTAAACTTAATTCTTTAAATGTTAAAAGTTACACAAATACAAGACCCTCCATCGATAGTGGCTGTACAGTCAGCTGAGGCATTCAGAAGCAGATGACTAACTTGTTGGAGCTGCATGTCAGAGGCAGTGGGCTCATAAGTAGTTATGACAGACAAATAAATTCTGGGCATTACTAATGCTCTAAAATAAGAAGAGGAGCTGGTAGGGAACATAGGCAGGAAAAAAAGCAACAAAATCCCTTTAAATATTCCCCTTCTGCAAATGAATGATCAATGATCCACTTATCTCTTCCTTTCTAAATTAAGTCTAGAGTTGATGAAATGAGGGAGCTTGTCTAACTAGACTTGGAAAAGGTAAGAAAATTGCCTGCTTTTCATTTATTTAGCTTAGCTAGTGCCCCTTAAACCTGGCCTGTAGTTCAGAATCTTGATCATAGTTAAATCATTTTTTCTAACAGTCTACCAATGCTGTACTTTCTTAGCTTGGTAGAAAGAACTCTATTTTCTCAAAACTTTGCCCTTTATTAACTCGCCGTATAAAGTAGACCAGAAGTAGACATTTAAAGGCACCTATAGACCCCATTTATAAATCTGTTATCACTCTATAAAAAGTCACTTCTTGATTTTGATTTTACTGGGAGTACAATATGTGCTTTAATCCACAAGGCATTGGTGTAGCTTACCGGAGAACTCCAGCCTTCTCAAATGTCTTTTTTGGGGGAGTAAAGGAGGGGTAGTTTGTTATACTGAATGCACTTTGGCAAAATCCATATTGGGACAAAGTAGTCATGTGCAGATATCCAAGAACCCAAATGAAATAATTATTTTTCTCTTAGCTTATCTTTTACCATCCCTTCAGCACTAATCGAAGATTCTCATTTCTTCCTGTCTCACCACTAAGTCCTTAGTAACTACTTTTTTCATACCCTTCCTTTGATTCTCTCTTCCCATTCAGAGAAAAGCCAGACGTTCAAACATACTGATGTACTGGCTAGAAAGAAGGCCTCAAAGACTAGAAGATCTGGGTTCAAGTGCTGCTTGTGCCATATACTGGTGTCGTG